AAACCCTCCAATATAAAAGCCTTAGGGTTTTGAAAGTTGGGTATTTTATTTCGGGCTTTAGGTGTCCCACACCATATAAAAGCGTATTAGTATCGGCAAGTCACATGATAAAATCTGCCGACACTTTTGATCACATGACTCATATAATCGATTGTTAAAAGACAACGTGTTGCTTTTTTGCTCGAGCTAAGATCTTTCACGTAAGTAATAATAATGTTATATTTACAATCGAATCAACCTAACATTGACCTCCCATGTTTATCCATCTAAGCGTGTAATCATCCTTATTCCGTTCCAATTTTAGATTGATTGGTAATAATCCTGTCTTGCATTTTGATTATTTTGCTCCTTAAAATCTATGAGTAGATGGTGAAACGGACAGCAGTTATTATTCATCCTATGGAGCAGGTATGCTGTACGTGTATTAAGGAATTTCTCATACGTACAAGATGAGTTTTGATGTACCTGATTACGCGTACTTTATCGATGTTAAGTTATTCTAGACAAGCAAGATAAATTACAGTCCGCGACATGACGAACACATAAAAAAACAATTATATAAAAAAAAAAACGCCGCCTAACCCAACCGTTCGTCGAACAGCCCGCATCGTTTGTTTCAACACTCCTCGCTCAGACTCAACTAAATTCAGCCTTTATGGCATCTGCGTCAACATTAAAATCTAAAACATCCCAAAAACAAGAAATGCAAGGACAAGCTGAAGATAATTAAGGCGTAAGTGTAGGCAATACAGAAAAAGATGAAAAAACATGGAGGGATGTCAGAGAGGAAATGCTTGGATTTCTGTCGAGACGGTACAAATAAGAAGGAAACGACGCGAGAGATGAGGAGTGTCATTATTAAAGAGTATGCTGGGCTGTTTATTCAATTGAGAACGAAATGCGTAGAAAATAACTACATCTCAATCATAAAACACTTACTTTTCGACATAATATCCAACGCCACAAATACATCCACTCGATTTCGAACGCTCACACTGCTGCTTTTTCGTGACGTAATTTCTGCGCGTCTTTTAATCGAGCAAGGTCAATTACAGGCAATCCTTTCCCTTTCTAATACATTCTAAGCCGATACCAATCTCCACAACAAACTGACATGGAAGTGTCGAAATATACATTGATACGTGCGGTAGATGAAATTTGGGATTATTTATTGATCTCGGAGGAGCCGCGAGCGCGCAATACAGTTATCGAACAATTGATGATCATCCAAGTTATTCGGTGCAGATTACGGCTAGTTGGTACTTAAGAAGTTTTGGGTTTTCAATGCCAGGACTGCTGACTGAATTGATTACCAATCGGGTTATTGAACAAGAGTATTAGTAACACGAATAATATGAGCAATGCTAGTGTGTTGTTTGAATTGCATAAAAAGACAGTAGGCATGGTCTAGCGGCTTTGCTGAGCGTAGTACCCGCACACCACCTGACGTCTCTTTCGAGCTAAGTGCCCCAGTGGAACTGTCCCTTACGGAGATATGAGGATCTTTAATCCAAACAAAGAGCCATTTATATCATATGGAAAAAAGTATGGAACACAGTTCATAAATTATCCTGCAGTAATAAGAGCACTGGAATGTCTCTGAAATTGAGAACCACCGGAATGGGATTATTGGATGTGTCCAGCTGGATTCTTGACGAACACCCCAAAGCAACTCACCCAACCGAATATCTCATTATCTGAAAATGTAGATCCAATACACGAAATGAGCAATGATACTAATGATATTAAAAAACAATTTTGCTTGTATGAATATCACATTAACAATAAGGACATTCAGAGTGTAAAAGTCACGATAACACGCATCATAGTCCCGCAACAGAATCAACATTTGACCACGATGATAATAAAGAGGGTTGTCTGCAGTTGCATCAATCAGAGGAAAATAATTGATAGAGATGAAAATTTGACGAAAGCAGAGCCAACAGACCAAGAGCATCAGATTTCCCAAGGCATATGACCAAGGTTGTCAAACGGACGCGATTATTCCCCCGCATTAACAAACAGACACTAGTAAACGAAAAATCTGCGAGGGCGTCGTATGCTTACTCATTCGCAAACACGAGGAGTGCCAGGTCTAGCCGTTACGTTACCGTATCACAATAGTCAGAGACAACGTAATAGGACATGACATTTCAAGGGATGCTTACGGGTGAGGATATCGCCACATCAGTTATTTTTCATTCAGATTATTACATTTTAAAAGTAAGGTAAAAAATCATAAATACTAGTATATAATATATTAAATTTTTAGTTTGACATAATTTTTTGGAATTACAGTCAACCCTCCGTGGAGCATTTAGCATTTTATTGGTTTCGCGTGATTCGATAAGTATGTTTATTTAATGATTTTTTGCTTCATTACACACACAGACTTTAAACTAATGTAACATTCAAGCACTCTCAATATTGCTTTCAATTATAACAATAATAATGCGCATCAACAAAACAATTAATTATCGTATTTACCATAGGAATAATCGCAGGACAAGAGGCGATTATTCTTAATCGATATAGGGATTAGTGGTTTCACTACTATATCATTAACAATGTATTTCAGAGTATAAAGAACTATAGTTATATCCCCTTCACTTGTATACCGACCTCGTATATATCCCAACTTTGACGCAGGACAAATTTCCCCTATTCTAATTCCATACAAATATACCAAATCCCTGCAATCCCAATTCCCACACTTATGGTAATAGAAGCGAATTCAAGTGACAGCTAAGAAATTTTTAGAACAAAGAGAATTTGCGACAGAAAATGATATTAGATACGTGTGCAATATAAGTCGGTGTTTAGATAAATCAGTAGAAAGGTTGAAACGTCAAACGTCACTAACAGAATTATTAGCCAATAAATTACATAATATTACCCAACATCACTTCTCAAAAAGTCGCGCAAATGGTAAACCATTGCCAATAAAAATATTGGATTACCAGGAAAATGAGAGTATCGACGGGACTACATCTTATGAGATAGGCTTCAAACATTGCCAAATTCTGAGAGAATTTGAGAGAGAATTTAATAATAAAAGAGCTTAGCGATGATGTTATTATGCATCATATGTCGTCGAATGTCGTCGAATGTCGTCATCGTCGCACTAATCTCGATAAATATAGGAATTTGATTTTCAAAGCCACAATGAATGTCGTCAAATGTTGTCGAATGTTATCATAATCACATTAATCTCGATAAATATAGTAATTTGATTTTCAAAGCCACAATAAAATAATCTTGCATGCATCAATTACCCTGACGATCACTTAATTTGAGTGCTCTAAATTTATGCATAATTTGTTGACACATTCCCTGGCTCGTATTTATAGTTGCCCTTTCAATTGACAAGAGAACACCAATAATTTTATCATTAGGTTTATGCTAAAGTGACTATCCTAATGAAGGCGTTCCAGGATTATTGGTGAACCCTCCATATACTGTAACGTTACATTGAATATCTATCAGGCCGCGGCATTCTCCCATTGTTCTCGAAAATCGTTATATGACGGTTTTTCAGTAATGTAGACGTTTATTCAATCAATAAAACCCTCAGACTGACATAGCCTGCATAAAAGTTGGACATTTATAAACCAAGACTATAACATTGGCAATTTACAAACATATTGCCTTCAATATATCGTTTAGAAGTATTCGCATCTTGTCACAATACCCGAAGGTAAGCTGACTTTGAAACATTGAGTTCATAACAATATTATTATCAAAGGAATTGCTCAATGAAAAACCCTATCAGCAGTTCGGATGAAGACAATGATTTGAAATTGATATGTTTTCAGACAATGATTTGAAATTGATATGTTTTCAGACAATGCGACATCAATTAAGTTATTAAAAAAAATTGCGAAAAGTCAATTAACACCAGAGGTTTCGACTCGACAACGGTTTATTAATGGCCTTATCATCATTCTACTTCCACACCCACTATCATCAAATACCGGCAGGCGAGTCCATACATTTTAACATTCTTTCTTCTCTCGTAAACTTTGTAATCCTGTCCGAAACGATTCTCTTGTCGACAAAAGGGTTTCTACCCACCCTA